ATCATGGGAATCCCGATAGTCTTAGGTCTATAGCAGCATTAACTAAGAGATGGTTCAGGACTCACCTGATCTAGCCCTAACTATAAGCTTTTCAAAGAGAACGTCTTAATTTCCTTACTCTTAAATGTGGAGGGGGTGGCTGTTGTCCCGGAACCTCGACTGGAAGCTGGTTCCCACAGGAGAGGAGCTTGGTAACTGAAGGCTCTGGGCTCCTGGTTCTACTTTAGACACCTATAGGAACGACAAGTAACCCTACATTCAGGAGAACGCAGTGTTCTAGAGGGGTAATATAGGGTACTATGAGCTCTTTGACATATGTTCTTATTTAAAATACTTTTGATTTTAATTTTAGAGTGAATTTCAATTGCTATGCCAGGACCTGAAGATAAATTGTTACACCACAAAAGGAGAAATGAGAAGAAAAAGTGGGAGAGTGCAGGGGCTTCACACCCAAATATTAATGTTATGACCAACTTTCAGTCAGCTCAGGAAGCTTCTCCAAGCCCGGCTTTATAACAGCCAGTAGATAGTGTCAGTGAAAGAGCCATCACCACCTGTGTGCCTATGCCTGTGTAGCCCTTCACTGGGTGAGAGACGTTAGAGTTAAAGCAGATTACATTCATTCACCTTTTCAGGTACTGGGTCTTTCTGTTAGAACACACTGCTGTTAAACTATAGGCCTCACACACACGTCTCCGCAACACAGAGGCAACAAACAAACCAGGTTGACTTTTTTTCTTTTAGTTTTATTAAACGAGTTACAATATACTTTTACATGTCAAGAGGAAAAATCATTAGAATAAAAGCACAAGTGACACAATCAAACAAATGTATAGCCACAATATTTCTGCCAATTAAGTAAACTACATGCTAATGCTAAACACTACCAAATAACTTATTTAGAGGTTTTCAAACAATCAATTTTACATTTAAAGTCAAAAATCAACACAAATCAGAAGCAACAAAAACAGGAATGCCTTTGTTGTGTATGCGCTCGGGAGTGTGAACACACAACTGCTAGAGCTCTAACACATGACAGCAGTTAATACCACACACACAGAGACAGACACACACTGCTACGCAGCACTGCTCATGCCTGCTGATGGTACTAGTTAGAGAACAATGAGTTGCTCTACTGCTCCCAGTGCCACAGCTGGAGTCCTGCTCACACACAACCCAACAGCACCATCACAGCAGCTTCTCCCTTATTCTACATGTAACAGAATTTCCATATGTAATACTACAGTCATCTGGTGCTGCCGACAAGGGGCACACATCAAAACCATCATCATCCTCACAAAAGCTTCAGATACAGCTACTGTTAATGTCACATTAAGTTTTAAAAGAAAAGCATGCAGCTCTGTCTTTATAGAAAGAAAAGATAAGCATCCACTAAGAATACACAGGATATTTACTATGGCAACAGCATGGGGAATCACTATAACAGGCTGCTGAGGATTCACAATGACAGTACACCAGAGGAGACGAGGCTGCAGTCAGAGCTGGGACAGGACACATTTTAACAGCCATTCATGGATTACACAGACAAGCCAAAGTCACCAAACAAAACAGTCCTGAAACATTCCAGTCAGTCTGAGCACAGCCTAAGCCCCTCCAGGATGGTCATCTACCTACTGCTTTACCGACTTTGCTGAAACAGAACACAGGTGAGGCAGAGCATGAATGTGTGTATGATCTGAGGGATGACATGCATTTTCAGTCAAAGTCTCTGTTGACCAGGACCAGCGGAGCCACCAGTGTCCACACATAGAGGGCGATACAGATCCAGCTGGAGGAGATCTTCACCCACACAGATGGCCACTTGCTGGTCATGGCCTCATAGTTGGAGTCAGGGCTGCAGAGAAAGCATATAGCGGAGAAACGCATCAGCTGACAGATTTATACTCTGCTGCTATCAGTCTGGATAAGTGCAATACTGCAAAAATGAAACAGAAAGATAAAAGCTCACTAAAGTAGAAATATGAAATACCAGAATGACAGTAGATTATATAAACATGATTCTCAAGCCCATCTGCATATAAGTGGCCATATATTTTAATTTCAGTTCATGTCAGGCTTTCAGCCAGAAATTGAATCATTAAAAAGCTATTAGTCTGGACTCCTTTAACATTTTTTATAATTGTCCAGAGGAAAGGCTGATTGGAAATGACAATATGTATATATAATCTCTTTTCTCTTGGTAAGATATCCAACTCCATCATGGAGTAAAATGGAATTTCATTTGTTCCACTTACAACATTGAAAAAATAAATGGAAAAATATCAACAGCAACACACACAGACATACCCTGAATAATTTACACTGGAAATACTTTCCAGTAGTCTCCAATAATCAGTATACTGCTTTTTCCAGAGTCCAGGTGATATTTTAAAAAAATAAAACTCACTGTATACGCTGCAATTGTATTTTGCATCATATCTCCTAATCCAAATATGATAACACAGAACAGGTGATGTGTACCACTATGTGGTCAAGTGATTAGACTTACTTCTGATTTATTTCAGAAATGTTAAATGTGCATATTTTGGCATTTGTTGTGGCTCAAAAACATCCATATCATCCATAGAAAAGATTTTATCTTGCACCAGAGCATCTACAGATTAATGTCACACCCATGTTATTAAGTAAAATAAGAGTCTGTTTGTGGTATCTTAGCGGCACCTACTGGTAAGGGAGTTAGTGTGGTGTTCTTGGTTGATCTGCTCAAAGTCCCACATTTACAAATGACGCAACAAATTATGATTGGCTGTACGCTGCGTATATGTGTATGGATTACCTCCACATACCAGGCAGAAATCTGCACTCTTCTGGTTTGCATTTGCAATGCCCCTGACAGCCTTTCTTTCAGCCAGAACTTAGGGCCAATTCAGACCAAATAAGGCAGTGCATTTAGGGTGTCAATATATCACTAGTGCAAAGGGACAGATATCCAAAGTGTAAGAGCTACAACCTCAAACAGTGTCCCTTTGTCTTGAGCCTGAAGCAAGGAACAACCAACAAACCCTTATATGAGGACCTCACATCCCTACTGGTATCACTTGATACAGTGTGGCCACTCTCTGCAGTGTGATGCCTACCTGTACCAGTTGGTGAGTGTCATCATGATGTAGAGTGACGCCAAGAACAGCATGAAGTGGAAGAAAGAGTAGGAGTAGGTGACGCCATCCTTCTCATTGTCCACAGCTCTGTTGTGACCGCTGCCCTCCTCAAAGCCGTCGCTCTGAGGCCCGTCCTCAATCAAAGCCGACTCATCGCTGGTTAGAGTCAGCTTATTCACCTGGGCGTTGGACGAATTACGAATACTGGTGGACAGAAAGGAAGAGAGAGAACACAGAGAACAAGGTTTCTTATAAGCCTACATTACAAGAGTCACTTCAGGCTTGCAGGTTGGTTATTCAATGATTTACTAGTGTGAGTTTGTAACTGCACAGATCATTAAAGGGTTGCCTCACCTGGAGTAGAGAACACACATGAGGAAAAGGACCAATCCCACAATCCCCTGGGCATCCCACCACTGAACCACATGGTCCTGACCGGCAGGACTGGTGCTGTTCAG